GCGCTCGAGCAGGGCCTCCCTGGCGGTCCCGGTCGCGGGAGCGCAGCCGTCGTCAGGCGGCGGCTGGGCGGGGTGGCCGTTTCTGTCGGGATGGTTTCCTCTATCGCGCTCCTAGCATCTTCTCGTCGCGAAAAAAAACACGACGGAGGGTTTCTGCCCATTGTCTGCGTCCGGGGGCCTTCATTGGACCCCAGCGCCGTCAAGAAACGCTTCAGGATGCGACGCCAGTCTTTGGGAGGGGGTCCAGACCATCGGGGGGCCGCTGAGACGGTCGGGGGCAGTCGATTCGCGGGTCGCGCCGCCATCTCTAGCCCACCACACTTCGGCGCGACACGCCAACCACGTCCCAGCTCCCAGGCATCAATTTCCCGAGTTTCTTTCCCCAGCCTCCCGCCCCACGAGGCAGAGCGACATTCTGTCAGCTTGTACGGCATGTTGTGTCGCAGGGGCCGCGGCCGCGGCGCGCTAAGCATGATTTCCCGACCGTGTTTTGTTGTTTGCGTTTGATGTTTTTGTTTATGTCTCAGATTATTTTCTTCTCTCTCCCCAGATTTTGTGTTATCCCTCTCTGTCTCTCTATCTCTCCCCTTCTCTCTCCGGGAAGAAAAGGCGGACTTGTTTGTTGTTGGTTTCTCTGTCTCTCTCTCTCTCTCTGTTTTAGAGGAGGAGGAGGAGGAGGAGGAGAAGGAGGTGGAGATCGAGGAGGAGGTGGGTCCGTAACCATTTTGGCTCAAGTCCGTAGCGGGAAGTTCAGAGACTTGAACATTCTGGCCTGGGGATTTCGCGGTCCCAACAGTGAAGCGCTGCGAGCGCGAATACAGCTCGTGCGCGGTAGTGGTCCTTCGGCCACTGCCCTCATTTCTACGATGGTCTCTTTGGTGGACTTGGCCCAGCAAGCGTTGCGGATACAAAGGCGATTTCTCATGCCGCACAGCCTGCCGCATTTGCGGTCACGCTCCCAAAGGGCTCCCGCCTGGGGGGAATGGCGGCGGCAATGGAGGTGTCAAAGCGGCGTGGCTCAAGGGACCACGCCCAAGCAACTGCACTACCAGCCCATTGAGGAATTCATCGGCGTCCGTGCTCATATTCCCGAGACGGAGTCCGAAAAATTCGGCAGTGATTGTTCCGCGAAGCAAATCGACAGGGTGGTGACCAAACGTGCGTTCAACGCGGGCGCGCCAGTTTCGACTGCCAGGGCTGCTCGGTAGGCCACAGACTCGCTCCGTCAGCAAGTTGAGCATGCCCAGCGTCGATTTGACAAGAACTAGGAGGCAGCCGCCAAGGCCATGGACCACATGGCCAAGTGCCGCATCCAGCTGGAGGAATTCAAGAAGCAAGCAGCCGCTGTAGCTGCCAAGGTGAGGCCTACAGCGCCCTGGCGGGCGCCAGCGCCGTCGACCCTAACCAGCAGTTCGCGCTTTTGGAGGCCACGGCCGCAGCGTTCGACACTGCCGTGCACGAGGAGGCCCGCCAGCTCAGGGCGCTCACCGCACCGACGCCATCCGCGCCAAGCTCCCTCCTGTCGGAAGCAGGCGCAGGCGCAGGTGCCGCGGCCGCGCGCGCCCGCGGTGCCCGCGGCCGCCCAGGAGCCAGGCGCGGCCCAGGGGCCACCGGCTGCTCCTGCTGCTTCCGCTGCGTCTCCGCCTCCTCATTGGGTTCCGTTCACAGACCCCGACGGCCAGTTCTTCAAGGAGTTCTGCGCCGCCCAGGCAGTGGCCGTCGACACCGGAGCCAGCGAGGAGGGCGACGCAGCCGTCGATGGCACCAGCGCCAGCGGCCTCAGGCCCAGGCGCGGCGTTGGACAGATCACCAAGGCTTTCTTCGAGGACCTCATCCCCTCCATGTAGATTGAGGACCCGAAGGCCAGGCGAAATGCATCATTAGGGTCGGGCGAAGAGGGGCCACGCCGGGTGGGGGGCTGGGAAGGGCAAGGTGGGGGGGAGGAAAAGGCGGAGGACGAGGAGGAGGAGGAGGAGGAGGAGGAGGAGGAGTCCGTAGCCATTTTGGCTCAAGGTCCGTAGCACGTCGCTCAGTGACCTTGGCATCTGGCGCGGGGGTATTGCGGCCTCCGACCGTTCGCCAGTTGCTTCTCAGATGCTGCATTGAGGCCTTGCTTCGCAGCCCTGTCTGGCATTATTTTGTATTCCTCTTGCTGGGCCAGTGGGCCGATGGATCGTCGGTCTTGTGCTCGCGCGCGTCGGCGCGGGTGCCGCTGCAACTGCGCGCGGCGCGCGTCGCGTCGCACGCGCGGCCAGGCGCCCAAGTAGCCCTCCGCGTCTCAGCCCCTGCCGCCCCGTGGGAGTTGGACCGGGCCTCCGCGTCTGCCCCAGCACACCTGCGGGCCCCAATGCCCGTCCGATGCGGAGATCACCACCTGCGCCGCCATGTCCGCCGCCGACTTCGACGCCATCAGCGACGGTTGGCCCCCGAGGGCGGTCGGTCGGGCGCGCGCCGCGCGGGCGGCGCTGCAATGGGGGCCCCGCTCCTGCGCCGAGCAGGCCCGCACCCGGCAGGACACTCACCATCAGAAGCTCGGGGTGGCCAAGTCCTGACTCGGGCGTGCCATGGTGGCGCTCGCGCAGTCCATCCAGGCCGCGGCGGGCGCCGAGGCCGAGCTCGCCGCGGCGTGGGCCGCCGCCGACGACGCTGCCGCCGAGGCCGCCCAGGCCTTCAGCAGCCTCGCTCCCGCCGCGCCCAAGGACGGCGAGCTCGCTCTCCAAGACAGGGCCAAGGGCCTCCGCGAGCAGGCCGCGCCCGACGACCCCGACGCCAAGGAAGAGTTCCTGCGCTTTCGGCAGCAGCTGGATGGCATGGCTAAAGAGCTCGGTTATTCTGAGCCTGGCCCCGTCGCCCCACCTGCCCCCGCCCCCGCGCCCCCTCGCGTCGACGGCGGCGCAGCCCCGGCCGCGGCCACCGACGCTGGCGGCGCCGAGCGAGCAGCGCCGTTCGACATGGAGTTCGGCGACCTCCTCGGCGACAACTCTTGCAAGGCTACATAAGTTGGGCGAGAAGCACGGCATCAAGCGCAAGCTGGCCAACGGTCTCTTCGACGAGGCCTAGGGGCACATCGCCGAGAAGACCAAGGCCGGCACGCCGCTGTCCGACGATCCGTTTCTTTTGTTTCTCTATCGCGTCTTCTAACGCCACGGGCGCGCCAGGGTTGGGCGCGCCCCTCGCCGACCCCGGCGCTCGACAGGCCCGAGCAGTTTGCGTTCGGGAACGCCGCCAGCTCGGTGACACTGCCCTCGAGCGCTGGCTCCGCGCCGCGGGGTGGCGCGCTCGAGTGGGCGCCGCCATCGCCTCCGTTCCGATCAAAGGTAGGTCGGGCGGCGTCGCCGCGATGGCGGCGGCCTGAGGTCTCGGCGAGAAAAGATGTTCCCGCGGATCTCTTGCCAGTCAGGGTCGCAGCCCTGCGTTGCGGTGGTCTGTGCTTGGGCGTTCTTTCTGTGGATTGGAGTGCGCCTGCATCGCGGCATTGGACTGGCAGCAGCGAGCTGGTCAACATTGCGCGCAATACGTGAGCTGGTCAGGCAATTTAACAAGCCGCGCGCCATTCATGGCGATTGGAAGATTGTGCCAGAGATTCCGCGTGGATCCAAGTGGGTCGACAGAAAAGAAGCAGTCATCCTTGCACTGCCTCTCCCCACTTGTTCCCATGGGTCTGGGGTCGCGTGTCTTGACTACTTCGTCGTGCGCCACAGTCTGCGGCATGGTCGGAAGACTCCCGCGCGACCGTCCGTCGCCACCGAGCCTCGCAAGGCAGTTTGTTCTGCGGTAGCGCGCCTCGGTCGGCAAAGAGCTCGCCGCCCGTGCGACCCCTCCACGTCGCCCCCCTGGAGTTCGGCCGCGTGGACGCGAGTGGCGCGACTGGCAGCAGCGACGGCAGCACAATGAGGCGGCGCCGCGCCCATGCGCCGCAGCTCATGGCACGCGCGTGGATGTCGCTCATTTGGCCGAGCAACAGTTCCTCGACATCTACCAGATCGATCCTCGACAGGCGGGCGCTCGCGCAGGGCGTGGTCGACCGCTGCAACTCGAGCAAGTTCGCAGTCGCGTCTCACATCGGTTCCCTTTTCCTCGTCTGAGCGCCCTCGCCGCATGGTGGGCGCGCTTCACGCGCTATGCGCTGTCTTTCTTTCCGGCACTTTCCTCAGCTTCGTCGGCGGGCCTTTCGCGCGCGCAATCGGCTGCTGCGCGGGGCGAGGGCTCGCTTCGCTCAAGCCCTGGCAGGGCGCGCTCCACGGCTGCGCGCGCTGGGCGACTCGCGGCACCTTTCGCATGACATTGCGGAAGTTTTGAAATTGGGGCCGCTGCCAGAGCCGTTCGAGCGCACAAGACGGCTGCTAATGCCGACAGCGCCGGCTGGCGCCAATGGGTTCGGGGCCCTGCTGTTGGCGGGGCCGCGGCTCTCCTCGCCGCCGCTCGGCCGCGCGCCCCGCGGCGCGCCCGCGGACGTTTCGAGGGCTGCGGTGCACTTCTGCTAGCGCCCGCGTCTCCTCAGCAGGAGATGAACCTCTTGGCAGCAGGATGGCGGCGCCGGTGGAGAGTGGATCTGAACCGCCCTGGTCTGCTGTGGCCGGAGGATCTCCGCCTTTTTTTTCCAGAGCCCGCCGTCGGGGAGATGCGCGGTGCGTTTCGATCTTTTCCGCCGCGCTCTGGTTGTGGTTGCGATGGCGTGTCTTCTCGGCAGTGCGATTCTCTCCTTGACGAGGCTGCGGCCGCTCTCACTGGCCAATCTTGGCCAGGGATGCAGGCCAATATCGTTTTCCCCTATCACGCGCACAGGTGGTCTGCGCCCGATCGGCCTTTTGCGCCGCCTCGCGCGGGCGCAAGACCGCTTGCGCAGACCGCTCGCGCGAGACCGGCAGCGTCAAACATGTTCGCGAGTTGTTTGTTTGGGCCACCGCTGAGCGAGGCTCGGATGAGCTGGTCTGGATTCAGTCGGCGAAGATTGAATGGGCCCAGGGTTGCGGTTTTGCGAGCGCGTTGGTGCCTCTCGTTTTGAAGAAATGTTTTGGGCAGATTGCTCAATCGAGGCTTCTCGCTGCAGCTGCCG